TCGGTCTAGGAGACTTTTAAATCATGAAGATGATGCCCGGAAGGCTTATGGTTGTACTCTTTTTCCCTTGGCTAAGTTTTTTTCCCACTGGGTTTTCTTAGGCTAAGGTTTTTAACGAGGCAACCGATGCAACACATGATTGATACTACATGTACTCTTTTCCTCGACTAGGTTTTTCCCACAGGGTTTTTTCTAGCGAGGTTTTTAACGAGGCATGAGTATAATTATTTAATGGCCAAGGGGGAGTGTTGTAAATATTTATATTTATGGCCATTAAACTATTTAGACCTTTCACTTGCTTAGTCTTTAATCATGTATTGATGTTGTGTTCAGAGGTTGTATAAGACCACTATATAAAGTGAGTGAAGATGAATGAAAGGGACACACTTACATGATTGTTATGCTATAGCTTGGTGTTATTCTTCTCCTTTCTTTTTAACCGTGTAAGCATCACACGAGAACCAACGTGCGAATAGGCCAAAACTTAACACACCAAATATATATTGACTCAAATTAAATTTGAAGTTAAAAAAAAAGTATAATTCACCGCTTTTTCTTCTTATTTATGATGGATCCAAAAACTAAGTGTAGCTACTATAACAAAATGGAATGTTCCAAATATTCGCACTTACGCAGTATTTATAACGGAGTTTGGGAAATAAAACTGACAACCGTTTAAGTCGTCATGAGGCAGCAAGAAATGCCAATCACATTTACATTTTTGTTTTTGTTGTTTTTTTTTTTAGAGCAAAAGGGAATTTTATTTGTGGTATGCATATCTGGTAAGTCGTTATATTATAGACCGCGGTGCACATGCACCGCGGTCAAAAACGACGCCGTTTCTTTAAGTAAAGAAACGGCCCGACGTTAGAGTTAACGGAGTCCGCTTGTTTGGTGTATTAAACACCAACTGACACTATAGTATATCCAAACCGACACTGCAGTTATATCAAAATGATATTGTAGTTATAGTGAAATGAAACTGCAGTGTATATAAACTGAAATTGAATAACATTTCACATATTTGAGTGTATATTGTACAATGAAGCTGTAATTATATCAAAATGATCATGTAGTTGTGTTTTAGTGAAACTATAGTGTATATAAAATAAAATTAAATAACATTTTCACATATTTGAGTCTATAAATATCATAGTTATATCGAAATGAAACTGTAGTTGTGTTCAACTGAAACTGCAGTGTATACAAAATGACACTAAATAACAGAGTTACTTTTTGCAAAAGGGTGCGAAACAGCGGAAATAAACACTGTTAATTTTCATTTAAAAAAAAAAAAGACGCGCGGTGCATAATCGATTATGCACCGCGGTGCATAATATAATTTGCCATATCTGGTCTACATTTAACAAACACAATTTCATTTTGCATTTGTTGTTTATAATACAAAAATGACAAATGCATGTGGCATGTAAATACACCACACACATTTCCCGATTGTGTTTATAATATTAAAAAAAAAAAAAAAAAAAAAAACGAATTACAAAATGCGTTTGGGTATATGTTAAAAAAATATAACAAAAAGTAGAAAAGCTTTTGAGATATGCATTTTTTTTTTTTATTTGCGCAACACTAGAAACACATTTACCAACAGTTAATTTTTTCTTAGGTTCTTCAAAATACTAAAAATTTCTTATTTTTGTCCAAATGTTTTTAAATTTTCCTATTTCAGTTAAAAACCTGACCTCCATTTTTCAAGGTGTAACCACAACTCTCCCTTATATATTTTGGTAATGGCAAAGAAACCTAAAGATTTTCAAAATTAAAATTTGGAGCCAAAATGTTCTAACCACTTTCAATCAGTAATTGTAATTCTAAATTCCAACCATCTTTTCTATCACTTCCAACTTTAGTCTGAAAATTTGAAAAGTTTTTAACTTTGCCTCTTATTTTTTTATCAATGAAAATTGCTAGTTTTCCTACCATAAGCATTTATATTATAATATATGAAGAAAACATATTGCGGAGTATAAATTTAAAAATTATTGAACATATTTAATATTTTTATAATAACGAAAAATAAAGACTCATTTTCTTTTGGAAAACTATTAGATTTAAAAAAATAAATAAAAAAAAAAATCTATGTTTGGTAATACATCGTTAATAAATAAATTAATCAGCAAATGAACAATTCCCTATCTAGTTTAGTTGGTAGAGTGTAAGGTGCTTAACTTTGTAGTCGTGGGTTCGAGTTCCATGGTGGGTAATTTTTAATTAATTTTAGACTTCCAACGTATTTAGAAAGAAAAAAAAAAAAAACTAGTGAACATTTAGGTTCAAAACTAAAGTAAAAATTTTAGAGATCATAATGGAAATAATATGCAGAAGTATCATGTAAATAAGAGAGGGGTGTGTGTGCCAAAGGTAGTTTAGTAAGTAAAAATTTTAGACATGATAATGAAAATAATATTAGTAAGTAAATTTTTTTTACATGATAATGAAAATAACATGTAAAAGTGATGAGAATATAATTGTGTTATATTCAATAATAATGTCTGAGAGTACATGGAGCGAATATATAGAGATGCTAGATAGAATCCTAGTCTAACACGAATAATATAGTCCTAGTCTAATGAGGATAATATAGTCCTAGTCTAATGAGGATAATATAGTCCTAGTCTAATATGGATAATATAGTCCTAATACTCCCCCTCAAGCACAAGGTTGGCTAGCCAAAACATTGAGCTTGTCAAGGAGAGAGTTAAAACGAAGAGACGACAGAGACTTTGTGAAAATATCCGCTAGTTGATCCTTGGTTGAAATAAAGTGCACTTCAAACTCCTTTTTGGCTACTTTATCGCGAACAAAATGATAGTCAATCTCAATGTGCTACTGATAAACATTATTTTTAGTGTTATTTTTAATAATATTTTTATAGTTAATTTACAATAATTGATTAATTATATACATATTTTTATTTATTATTGTTATTAGTAGCTTTGTTAATATTATATTTAATTTTAGGTTGTTTTACTTATTAAATTTGTTTTATTATTTGATTTCTGTTAGTGTTATAGTTCTTGATCCTAATTTCTTATAATAATATTAATTTTAGTAGTACATGATCAGTAGGAGTTTAATAAAGGTAGATTAGTTATATATGGTCTCTAATAAGTTTTATTATTATTATTATTATTATTATTATTATTATTATTATTATTATTATTATTATTATTATTATTGAGGAAGGAGCCGCGAGAAATAAGATCTTCAACAAATCCAGTCTTTGAGTGATCCGAATGAAACGTTGAGCGGAAGAGCAACCAATAATTAACACAATTTTAGTGAGCAGTCTGGAATAAGCTGTTGGTCTAGGGAGTATAAATTGAGGCCAATTCAGAGAAGACATCATGAATCTTACCCCGGATCAATTCCGGAGGTGCGAACAGAAGAGAAAAATCGAGGTCCGCGGCAGCTTCAATTCCGGGCGGTGGCTTCATTCGGCACAAATTAATTATTTGGTGGCAGCAGCTTAGCAATTTTCACACGGCAATTCATCACTCCCTTTGCTCTTTATAATTGTTTATTTACTCTAATCATTGGTTGTAGTTGTTAAGTGTTGGTAGATTAAATCTTGCGAGTTTGTTGGGAGATTAAATCTTGTGAGTTAGTTGCTGTTAATCCCATAATGCATTGCTAATTAAATTTGCTTGAGAACATGATCTAATTTCTATGAACATTTCGCATTAACTTGAGTTTTAATATTGCCTATTAATTATGTTTTATCTAATAATGATTTTATTGAGATTAGTTGAGTTGAATTGATCAATCTATTCCGAGTTACGTTAATCTAGCCTTTATTCCCTAGTTGTTTTGTTTTGTGGTTAATTTATTATTATTTTTTTTCTATCTTTATTTTTGCCTGCGTTTCCGTTTAGTTTAATCCATGTTGATTGTCGTTTAGTTTAATCTATTTATTATTCTGTTTTCTGGTTTCTGAGTTTTGTTATTTTTGACATTTGATTCAGTACTTTACATTATCAAGTCAATTAATTTAAGTTTAAGTTATTAAATTGCATATTATCAATTCCTCTTGGGTTCGACCCTTGCCTTTGCACACTACCACTACACTGACTCGTGCACTTGCGAGGACATTATATATTAAAATTGTCCAACAATTTTTGGCGCCGTTGCCGGGGAATTGTTTACTGTGCAATTTGATTTCGTTCTTGTTTTCTATCTGCTTAATTTGATTGTCCATTTGTTATTTTGGCTTCTGTTAATTCTTTCGCTTTTGAATTCTAATTAATTTGCATTCGAATTGATTCTGGTCTATGATATTTTCTCCGTAACTCATTGCTTTTAGCTCCTAAATTTCAATCATTTTGCATTTAAGTTATCTTTATATTTTTTGCTAGTTTTTGCTTTCCCATTCCTTTATTTATTTTCCCCATTTTTTTCAATCTCTTTATTATTATTGTCATTAGTTTGTTTTCCTTCAATTTAATCTTGCTATTTATTTAATTCATTAGTTCATTTAAAAATTGCTCTATATTTGTCTTTGCTTTCCCTATTCCCTTTATTCATTTTTTTCTTTTATTATCAATTCCTTGTTTTTTTCTCCCTACCATTGTTGCTAAATTTTATTTTATTTTTTTTTTCATTTTTTTAGCACTTTAAATTTGCATTCAAGATTTTTTTTTTTCGCACTTTATTTACCAAGTAAATAAGTACTTAATAATTGTTTAATATTCTCCATTTCCCTTTTACTCTTTATTGATTATCTTGTTTATTTATTTGATGGAGGGGCGTCGTTCTCTATATCCTAAACTGTTTCCTTTAGACGATCATATTGATATATTACTTTTTGAAAATCCAATTTTTGAACCGCAAGAAATATTACTTTTTGAAAACCCAATTTTTGAACCGCAAGAAACAACTACAATCATAAATGCACTTCATCCACTCTCTTGGGTTGATAATCAGAATGATTTTCAACTAAACCATTCTAATTTTTATTGTGTTAATAACCAAAATGATTTTCAATCAGTTGACCCATCCCAACTTGAACAACCATCTTTGGAGGATACTTTACAAAATTTCATACAGGTTTGTAATGCTCCAGTCCAACCTAAAGAAGAATCATTGGAAGATACCCTGCAGAATTATATACAGGTTTGCAATAGGCAGCACAAAGCAGATGAGCAACGATTCCAACAACTTGAAGCTTCTTTGAGAAAACTAGAGGTACAAGTACGAAAAATTGCTAATGCTTTGCAAGGGCATATGCCAGGTAAGTTACTTAGTCAACTTGAGGAAGCTAAGGCTATGGGAAGTGGTGAAATGATTGAAAACAAGTTAATAGATAATACCACTTCTAAACAAACTGAAATAATTGAAAATTTGCATAATGAGGTTGATGATATTGTTGTTGAAAATGAAGAGCCTCAATTGCATAAATATGATAATCCCTATGTACCACCCGAGCCTTATGTGCCCCCGATTCCATTTCCAAATAGGCTCAAAAGTTGTGTTTCTCAAATGCTACAAAAAGACTTGCCCCCAATCCCTTTTGATGCTCAAGTAGGAAAATTGACAAAAAATGTACTTAATGAAACTGCTGAGGTTCCCATTTTTACATCTATGTATTTGCCTAATATCTCTAACCAAGTTTTTGCAGTTAAGGGATTGGATCTTGCACAGAAAAATCAGTTGAAGTTCAATAAACTCCGAAAGGAGAATCTTTTAAATGACATTGATAATAACGCATTTTATTCACTTTATTCACAAGCTGCAGGGCCATATGAGAATTGCACAAATAAAAAATCTAATAAGGGAGGACTTTCTTTATCTTCTTTTCTTTCCTCTCACAACATTGGGGACAATGTTAAAAATAAGTGTGGGGAAAGTAGGACTATGTGGTCTAATGGTATCCGGGTTGGACTTCCATTTGGAAGATTGTGATTTCGAGCCTCAGTGGAGGCGTTATTGGCTCTTTGTGTTTCAGTAGGTTGAGAAAGTATATGAACAGATACTACATTGTAATAGAGCTAGTAGCATTCAAAATAATGCAGGTTTTTGTCCGCTCTTAGTGTGTATATTACATGTTGCTAGTTGTTAATTTCTTTATTTTTATATCTTGAATTACTTAGTCAAAAACAAAAAAAAAATGAAAAAAAATAGAATTTGAAAATCACAAATACCCTTATGTGTCCTATACAATTTCTTTAGTAGTTTATATGCATCTCTCACTCTATTTTACTTTTTTTTTCAAATTCTTAAATAATTCTTGAGTGCTATAAATTGTGGTGTAGTGTGTTGGTTCAAGGATCATCTTTATGGCATAAGTAAAGTGAAAAAAAAAAGATTAAATAAAAAAAATTATTTTGAAAAATAATAATAAATGAGAGTGTTTTATTTATTTATTTATATTGTTTGCATTAAATAAGAGATTCTACTTCGCTGAATCAACCACATATACACATGTACCATAAATAAATAAATAAGTGTCGTGGTTTGGTTTATGAGTACACACAAAATTGAAAACCCAAACAAGTCTGGCGTAAAATGGCGAGGTTTTTGGGGAAGTTCTCTTTGAAAAAAAAAAGTCAAAATAGAAAAATAATGAGTGAATTTTGGAAGAGACAAACAATTGCATTTCAATTTTAATTAATGCCTTGATCCTGATTTCCTTCATGTTTTGCACCTGCACTGTGATAGAATATTTCTGAATTTGGTTTAGGTTGAATTTGGTGAAATTTTCATATTTTTCTATTGAGTTTTTGTATAGTTCATATAAGGGGTGAAACGTGCGGGCATGAAACACTGGAGGAGGAGACGCAGGCGGGATGCCGATTTCATGTAACAGAGAAACGAGCCATGTAACTTCTGCAGATACATCAGCGTGTCCCTTGTATTCTGCTCCAGTCGAAGAACGTGCCACCGTCCGTTGCTTCCGACAAACCCAAGATATAAGATTACTGCCCAAGAACATAGCAAAGCCACTAGTAGATTTGTGGTCATTCGGATCGCCAACCCAATCTGAGTCAGAATAGGCGTGAATATCCATAGATGTAGACTGAGAAATACGCAGGCCAAGATTCATGGTGCCTTTGACATACCGCAGGACTCCTTTAGAGAGGCCCAGTCTGTAGTAGTGGGAGCATGCATATGTTGACTCAATAGATTAACATCATAAGATAGATCCGGACGGGTTACCGTAAGATACTGGAGAGCACCAACAAGACTCCTATATTGTGTTGGATCGACATAGAGAACGACCACGTCGTCTGTGATTTTCGCAGAAGAGACATGCGTGATTACTGGCTTGCAGTCCACCATGCCAGCACGTTTGAGAATATCCTTCATGTACCGTTGCTGGGATAAAACCATACCGCCAGATAACTGGACAGTTTCTATTCCCAAGAAGAAATAAGGCACACCCATATCACGAACCTTAAATTCAAGAGCTAATTTATCAATAAAAGCAGTAACACGATCTGAGTCAGAACCCATAATTAAAAAGCAGTAACACGATCTGAGTCAGAACCCATAATTAAAATGTCACGAGAATAGATAAAAAGAGACACATCCATCTTAGAAGGCGAGAAGCCCACAGAGACAAGAAAATCATGTAGCCTTGTGAACCATGCACGTGGAGCCTGTTTGAGACCGTATAGAGATTTTTTAAGCAAACATACATGATTAGGTAACGACTTATCCTCATAACCAGGTGGCTATCGCATGTAAACAGTTTCAGCTAGCTCGTCATTTAAAAAGGCGTTGTGAATATCCAACTGGCGAATAGACCACCCACGAGATACGGCTAAAGATAAGAGAAGACGAACCGTAGTGGGATTAACCACTGGACTAAAGGTCTCAAAAAAGTCATCTCCAGCAACCTAATTAAAACCCTTGGCTACTAACCTTGCTTTATGACGGTCTATTGAACCATCGGCCTTCCGTTTGGTTCTGAAAACCCACTTGCAACCAACAACATCATACCTTGTTGAGATGGAACGAGACGCCACGTATGATTATGGACCAAGGCAATGAACTCCACGTCCATTGCAACACCCCACTTAGGAAACTTGACCGCCTGAGAGTAACAGGTAGGCTCAGGCAATATAGTGGAAATAGTGGTTAAGGCAACATGTTGATGCGGGCAGGAGCTGCGAGTGTTCATGCTATGTGACCGAGGAGGCGGAGTAGCACGTCGAAGACGTTCGCGCGGCCTGCCGCGCAGCTCAACCTGCTGGTCCGAGACAGTCCGCTCACTTAATGCGGACTGCTCGTGACTGTGACCGGCATCACCGCCAGAAGTCACCACAGGCTCGTGAATCTTCCGAGCGCCATCAGTAACCATGGTCGAGACATCACTTCCTTGGCCCGTCAAAATTGGTGCAGTAACCCACGGTTCGGAACGCGATGTAGCAACCTGCGAGGCAATAGGAGAAACAAAGGGAAACACAGTATCATCGAATCGCACGTGGCAATAGATAAAAACCTTGTTAGTGTCCAAATAACGATAGCCACAATAAGACGGAGGATAGCCTAGAAAGACACAGGGAGATGAACGAAACTGGAGTTTATTGTGATTATAATGACGTAGGACAGGAAACCACAAACAGCCAAACACTCGCAAGTAAGAATGGGACGGGGGAGATCGATGTAAACGGAAGTGAGGGGACTCATCAGACAGAACACGAGTAGGCATTTTATTAATTAGATACAAGCAGTTTCAAAAGCATAATCCCAAAAACGAGACAGGACATATGCTTGAGCCATTAAAGACAGCCCTGTCTCAACAACATGACGATGTCTGTGTTCCACTCGACCATTTTGCTCGTGAGTATACGCACAGGATTGCCTGTGGCAAATATCCAGCGAAGTAGAGTGGAACCAAGCTTTTTATATTCTCCCCCTAAATCAGATTGAAAGGAAATAATCTTGCGAGAAAATGAACAGGTATTTAAGAACTTTAGGATAAATGATGAAATCTTCTCCATAAATCTTAATAACAGAATCAATTGCTTTCCCTATGTCGTAAAATTCTTTATACAGGGTTGACCCTACCTAGGAAATAATTTAAGCTCTTCAATTAAGAGAGCCATTATATTTTCACATTTCAAATATATCTTTGGCTATCTGCTTTAGGATCGGTATATAAAGTGAAGCAAGTAAATGGCTTTTTCTTAAAGTGTTTCAATTCCCATAATAGAAATAGCATGGTAGAAGGGTCGTCGAAAGTCCAGGTAACCTATAATTACAGTCATGAACTGATTTATGGACTTCAATGATTCAAAATAACATGTTTATGAATTTAATTGCAACTTTTGAAAGTTTAATGGCCTAATTGACTTTGGAGTAAAGTTCAGAGGTCTATTTAACGCTTTTCCCTATATAACATCCTTCCCTAAAACAAATAGTAGACAAATAAATAGAATTAAATAGAATAGGATATCAAACCTCAGTACGTCATTACATGACACATCTAAATAATTATAACAATTGATTTATGGTTATCTTGGTTGCAACAATTGTTCTACATATTGCTCCCACAAGGTTTAGGTAGGATAATTGTTTATCCCTTCATAGAACATAAATCAAAAACATATTAAAAAAAAAAACTTGTTTTTCTTGTGAAACAATTGTGAATGGCTCATCATGACAACCTTGCCGACCAAAATCAACTAAGACTCCGTTTGGAAAGCAGAAAATGATTTCTGAAAAATGTTTTCTGAAAAATGAGTCATTTTCCAGAAAACATTTCCATTTCCGATGTGTGGCTACACAACGGAAAACTGTCTTTGTTTGTTTGGTTCATTTTCTAGAAAATGAGCACGAAAATGAAAAGAATTGAATACTTCAAAATTTTAATTATTTGATATTTTTGATAAAATCCTTCTATGAATAGCACGCTTTTGATATATATATATATATATATATATATATATATATATATATATATATATATATATATATATATATATGTGTGTGTGTGTATATATATATATATATATATATATATATATATATATATATATATATATATATATATATATATATATATATATATATATATATATATATATATATATATATATACCAAATTGATATGAACCTAGTCCAAGGTTCACATAAAGATGGAATATTGTCCCAAGAATGCTCTCACAAGTAAAGATAGAGATGGATCAAAATACCTTAGACCTCACAAGAAACCCTTTGTCTCGAATCCTCAAAGACTTGGAAGAATCCCATGTAGCTTCAAGTACCTTGATATTGCAATCTTCAATCAACTAGAGTCGGATCTAGTCTCCCCTCATGATGAGATTTAGAAACACCAATAGATTCAATATTAGCTAAATATTAAGTATGAATCTCAATGACCTTGTGACACCCCGCAAATCCACACTCTAATCAAGGATTAATTAGAGAATTAATCCTAGTTTCCTTATTAATTTATTCCTAAATATCCTGAAAATTTAATAGTCGAGGAACTAGAATTTGACTAGTCACTCAAAGTCAAAGAGTTGTACCTTATGCTTCTTGGGTTGTTCCCTTGTTCCCTTATTCTTCCAACTTTAGTAAGGGTAGAGATGTCTTTCTACCTAAGGTTCGTGGTTCAAGCTAACCTAGCAACATCCCTTCATTTCACTCACCTACAACTAAACACAAAATCTCTAACTTCTCTCTAAGAAGATGTAGCTTCTTCTCCAAGCTAGAATTTGGGCATCCTAAATCTTGCAAGTTGTCTCCCAAGATTCCTCCTTTCCTTATCTTGAGCATAGGGGAGGGAAAGATCCTTGATCTTTTAATCTTTTTAACCTCCATTTATATTTCTTTATCTAAAGTTAGAACCTTTGTTGTCTTTTGGGTTCTGTATGAAGTTCGTGTAGAAGAAGAGCTTTAGGAAAGACTTTCTAAGGGTGAGAAAGAGAAGATTTGGGCTACAAAGGTAACCCATGCTTTACAAAACCTATTTTCTTACTTATATGATGATTTCTTGGCTTCTACTTGTGATTCTTGTGTTGAAATGTGAGTTTTGATGCATTGTCTTGGGGTAATGTATGTTTTGGCTATTTCTTGGGTTCAAGTCATATTGTTGTTTTGTGTGAGATTTTGGGTGTTTTGGACTTGAATTTGGACTTGTTGTTGAAAATCCATGAAGGGATTATTTTGGAGTACAGGGTGTACTCGCGGGCGGAACGGCGGGCAGAGGCCTACCCGCTGCCCCACCCGCGGGGAACGAAAGACTCGTGGGTATGTACCCGCGGGCGGAGTTCCACCCGTGGCCCCACCCGCGGGGAACACTTGTAATGTCGGGCGGGGATTTGTTCCCCGTGATTCTTTTGATTAGGTATTGATGTTTTGACCTCCCGATGTTGTTTTATTGGGCTATTTGTGAGTCTTCTTGATGTTTCGTATGTCTAGAACGGTATGTTAGGAATCCATGTAGGATTTGGTGTCTTGAATTGTGCTAAGGGTCCGAATTTGTGATTCGTTGGACTATTGTGAGTCTTGAATGTTCTTTGGAACTACTTTTGGTTTACCCGTTTGATAAGCATGCTAGTTTGATGTTGATATGCTAGTATGTGTGGTTTGTTCATTCCTATTTGGATTGGCAACTTGTGTTGACCATCATTTGGTGTCGGATTGCGATCCTTCATTGTTGAGTATGGATTCATGTCTTTGTTGTGATCCATTGATTGATTCCTATGATGTGAACGTATATAATCGCTGTACCCTTTGATTGATACTTGATTAAGGTTATTGTGGAACCTTAGTCATCTTGGTAATGATGATGACTTGTGTGACTATGATTGAATGTGGGTAGTTGTTTCTTGAGCTTTGCTCACATGTAGGTGGTTGTGTGAATGAAATGAATAGTAACCTCGTGTACTGAAACGTAGGTGGTATGTTGGAGGGGGGACGACGGTCCCTGGCGGTATAAGGTTGGATTCAGAAGTACAGGGTGGCACTAGGAGGTAATGGTTGGAACTGAAATGAGGCCGGGGGTTGCCATAAGGTTGGAACTATGATACTTGTTGTAACACCCCCCCCCCCCCCCCCAAACACGACCTATAAAAGAGGCCTTAACACCTGCAGATCATACACAAACTAGCACATCGGAAGAAGATAAAACGAAAGCTGGATAAAAGAAATCCAAACGGGGTGTTATGCCACGTCTACCAAACACGGTAAACGCTACGGCGATCAATCTACTAGTGTATACATCTATCCCAAAAGGTAACAGTCTAACACTACAACGACACACAGGCCACAAAACAAAGGTAAAATATTCTAGACTACCAGCCACTAACATCGCGTTCGTCTAGACATCACCTGAAAGACACAAAGATAAACATTGGGACGACGCCCGGTCAGCGAATAATGCTGGTAACCCACCAATACCTGTTAAGTATCATACATAGGTAGGGTATATATACAAAAATCATTTCGAAACGGAATACATATATATAAGTGTAAAACCAAGAGTAAACACCAACTCAAGACTCAACACTCATCAATAAACACCACGGGAACACATCCCAAGACCACAACGGATAACGACACCACAATGATAAAGACACGACAACCGACAACACATGCCCTTGTGACTACACACGTCACAAGATTAGAATACAGAACCACAGCTACACAAGCCCTCGTGACATCACCCGCCACGAGTTGAAATGCCTTCTTTGTGCCCTGTTCCAACCTTATGGCTACCCCCAACCTTATATCTAGTTCCAACCTTTACCTCCAGGACCCCTGTACATACAGTCCAACCTTATTCCCCCGGGAATCGTCATTCCCCCTCGGACAGTTCTCCAAAAAAACCACCAATTAATAGTACACGAGGTACCAATCACGCACATGGAACACATGCCCGGATAACACATGTTATCCCCCAAAAACGTGAACCTTACACAAAGGCCAGAACTCCATAATCACGCCACGGCCGCCACGAGGACCGCTGCAATACCTTGGTGACTAGTGTCCCATACCACTAATCGTGCAATCCAGGTAAAGCCACACATGCACCACAACTCAACAAGAGTCAAACAACGGATCACAACGAAGGTATGAAACATACTCAATCAAGGAACGGGTCACAGCCCAACAACAACAACGATGAATAACGCAAGTTATCATCAACCAAACGGAAGGTACAAACAACACACACGCTAGCATTTAGACAACAAACTAGCATGCTTATCAACGGGGAAACTCAAGATAGTTCCGAGGAACACACAAGACACGTCACGGTCCAACGAAACACAATGTTGAACACTTAGCAAGATTCAAGACACCAAAGTCCTACATGGATACCTACCATATAGTTCTAGACATACGAAACATCAAGAAGACGCTCAAATAGTTCCACAAAAGAACACTGGGAAGTCAAAAGACCAAATACCGAGTCAAACGAATCAGGGGGAACAAATCCCATCACAACACCAACCATGTACCCGCGGGTGGACCCACGGGTAGTGCCCCACCCGTGGTTCTGCCCGCGGGAACATCATCCCACAAGGCCGTGTACCTGCGGGTAGGCCGGCGGGTGGTGCCCCGCCCGTCGTTCCGCCCGCGGGTACACTTCTTGTACCGTAGGGATGGCAATGGGTTGGGTGTGAGTCGGGGAGGGCTACATCCATCACCCGACCCACCTTATATTTTCTCCACCCACCCCCACCTCCAACCCGCATCGGG